TATGTGTGATTTTATAGCTCTTTCTATAACTTTCCAATTTATTTGCCAGAACAGTGATTTTTTTAATGGACAGGGAGAAAGTATGTGTAGTTTGAAAAACAACATATTCAATATTTGGTCTGAATTTTATGTTATAAAGTTATTGTTTCATAATAAAAGCTACAGAAAACAAAACTATGAAATCTTGTTGAGGAAGAGAGAGTAAATGCTTTAGAAGCACTGCTCTACGAAGACTGAAACAATTGAAAAAGCTTTAGCTTATGTTTATTAAAATTATTGGGTGACATTGATTAATAAAATAAAATAAGTTTCAAGTGTACAATTCAACAGGGTGTCATATTCATATTGCATTGTGTGTTCACCACCCAAAGTTAGATTTTGTCACAAATATTTAAATAAAATTGCATTCTTAAAGCATAGACTGAGTGACTCTGGGGATGATGACACAGAAATGCCCTGGACGAGTGAAAGAAGCCAGCTTAAATTTGGGGACATTTTCATCAATGTTCTCAATGAAATGTAGGTATTTTCTTTGCATTTTGATCACTTTCATGTTCTTAGAGATCCCCTAGTGATTTTGTTAAAATGCAGGTTAGGATCCACTAGGTCTGCGGTAGGACTTAAGATTCTTCATTTCTAACAAGTACCCAGGTGATGCTGATGTTATTGCCCTGGGAACATAATTTGAATTGCACTGTTTTAGATCTCTTCCATCCATGAGATATGACAGCAAGAGTTGATTGTGAGGGGATCCTTCCTTGGTCTGTTACTTCAGCGACTTAAAAGTGGAAGAGATGAACTGCTGGCTTATCTGAGGGCTGAAATAATTTTTGCTTATTCAGAAATTTGAGAGGTTTGGAATAGGAAATTATTAATATTAGATGGGTAATCACAAGAAATTTTATGTTTCACTGACTCCAGGTTGTTCAGAGACTGAAGGAAGTAAGGACTTTTGAAGTGGTACTCACTGCTTAACTGAAAGTGAGATAAAATCAGAATCGTTAGGAAACAATTTTCAAAACAGACTCATTTATTTTGACTAAATGAGGCTAGATGCTAGTAAGGAGATAAATTCATTGTATTTTCTTTAGAGACTCACTGTTTTAGAAAGTGGAAAACCAGTTACTTAGAATTTTGCTTGCACTGTTGCTGAGATTTTAAATAATGCTTTTCCATATCACCTCAGTGGTATCGAATTATTGCCATTAATCGCTTCTATCTCCATTTTACTATGTGACTTTAAGAAAATCATTTCAATCCTTACTTTTCAAGTTCCCATGGTGAAAAATGGAAATCAAATCTCTTGCCTTATTCCCTGTAGAGTTATTACTGAAATCAGTGGCCTGTGAAGTAGATTTCAGTTGCTTAAAAAAAGACTTTAACAATGTAATATTTTATATTTATTTAACACATTAACATATGCATACCTCATCTTATTTTATATATGATCTAAATATTTTGGCAAACATTCATAACAAAAATGAAACATTTCCTGTAATCACACCAGCAATTAAATTAATCTTTTTTTTTTTTTTTTGGTTTCACAAATTGAATGAATCTGATTAGAGTGTTTAAGATATATATATTTTTTGTCTTTTAGGTAATCAGTACTGATGGTTATTTATTACATATACAGTAATTTAATCCACATATGTAAATTTAGTTTTAAAGGGGGATAATAGTAAATGAGGTCAGTTAACTCAAGGACGATCCTTTGTTTGGGATGCCTTAGACTCATCTGTTCTTCTAAGTTTAAACACATTTATTTTTACCTGAGTTTAGCATGTATTCTAACCAAAGACCTATATTGGCCCAAATGTGTACCTAAGAATAACAATCAGAAAATGTCCTAAATAAAACTCTGTTAATCCAGATTCAAATTCATAATTTGAAATAACTCAGAATAAAGTTTGTCTTGCTTTTCTATGAAGTAAAAATTTATTGGGAAAATTAAGTAGCATTACCATATATACTAAAATGTAATAAATAATCTACATCTATTACAGTGGGGGAATCAAGAGCTGGGAATCCAGAGTCAAATAGGCCTGATTCAAATTCATCTTTGCTGCTTGAATTCTAGTGTGGCTTTGGTTACTTACTTTCTCAAAGTCTCAGTTTCCTTATTTATAAAAATGAATTTCACGATATAAAGCTCATATGACTATTTTGGGGTCCAAAAGAGATAATGCATATGCTATGGACTAAATCATATCCTCGTAAAATTCATATGTTGAAGCCCTAACTCCCAATGTGACTGTATTTAAAGATAGGGCCTTTAGGAGGTAATTAAGGTTAAATAAGGTCATAAGGGTGGGTCCCTAATCCAAAAGGATGGGTGGTCTTATAAGAAGATGAAAAGAGATTTCTCTCCATGCATGCACACAAAGAAGAGGTCATATGAACACACAGCAAGAAGGTGGCAGTTTACAAGTCAAGAAAGGAGGCCTCAAAATGAGACTTACGTTGCTGGCACCTTGATCTTGGACTCCCAGCCTCCAGAACTGTGAGAAAATAAATGTCTTTTGTTTAAGCCACCCAGTCTATGGCATTTTGCTATGGCAGCCTGAGCAGACTAATACTGATTTTGGTATTAAGAAATACTGTGCTGCTGTAACAAACACCAAAAAATGTAGAAATGGCTTTGGAATTAGATATTTGGTAAAAGCTAGAGGAGTTTGGAGGTCCATGCTAGGAAAAGCCTACATTGCCATGAACACAATATTGGTAGAGCTGTGAATGTTAAAGGTCGTTCTGGGGAGGTCTCAGATGCAAATAAGGAACATGTTATTGGAAACTGAAGGAAAGGCCACCCTTGTTATAAATGGCAAAGAACTTAGCTGAACTGTGTCCTAGTATTTTGTGGAAGATAGCTAAGTGTTGAAGGAACAGTTTGGCTCCTCCTGACTGCTTATAGTAAAATGCAAAGGGAGAGAGATGAATTCAAGAAAGAATTGTTAAGCAAAAAGAAACCAGACCTTAAAGATTTGGAAAATTCTCAGCCAACCCATATAGCAAAAATAAATAAATAAATAATGTACACTTAAAACATATAATTTTATTAATCAATGTGGCCACAAATAAATAAATAAATGAATGAATGAATGAATGAATAAATAAATAAATAAATAAAGTGGAGAGAATACCAAGGGTGTGGCTAGACAATCATTCTTTAAGGAAATTACCCTTAATGTTAACTAGCCTTCTCAGCAGAAGCTAAGAATAGAGTCAGGACCAAAGCATCAGAGACACTGTCTCTCTGAACCAAAGGGAACAGGATAGGACGATAGAGAAATTTGGCTGCAGACATGCTTTATCTTTCAAGAAAAGGGAGGAATGACCCTGAAGGTGATTCACAGATCATCAGGGATGCCACTCCCACCACAGGACCAGCGTGCACAGGCCCAGGGGGCAAGTTTGCCTCAACCAAGGTTTCAAAGGTGGGATCAGAGCCCAACAGAGCTGAGTAGGTGGGGCCACCCTCCCCAGAGAAGTGAGAATAAGAGTGCCACCCAATGTGCCTGGAGAGTGGAGCATCAATCCAAAAAAGATTAATGCTCAAGCATTAAGATCTAATGGAATTGGCCTTATGAGGTTTTGCACTTGCTTGGGAATTGTCACTCCTGTTTTCCTTCCTATGTCTCCCTTTGGAATGGATATGTCTGTCTTCTGCCTGTCCCATCATTGTATTTTGGAAGCACACAACTTGTCTGGTTTCATGGGTGCCATCATCTAACAAATCTGTTAGATGATGTTTAGATGAAACTTTGGACTTTAGAATTTAGAGTTGTTGCTGGAATGAGTTAAGACTTTGGAGGCTGTTAGAATGGAATGAATTTTGCATGTGGATGTATTTTGTCTGTGAGAAGAATGTGAATTTTAGAGCAACAGTGGTATAATGCTATGGACTAAACCATGCCCACCCCCACTCCACCACCAAATTCATATGTTGAAGCCTAACACCCAATGTGGCAACATTTGGGATAGGTCTTTAGTACGTATTTAAGATTAAATGAGGTCATAATAGTTGGGCCCTAATCCAATAAGGTCGGTGGCCTTATAAGAAATAGAAGAAAAAGAGAGAGAGATCTTTCTCCATGCACACATACAAAAAAGAGGTCATGTCAGCACACAGCAAGAAGGCCAAGAGAAGAGGCCTCAGAATAAAATTTATGTTGCTTGCACCTTGATCTTGGACTTCCAGCCTTCAGAACTCTGAGAAAATAAATTTCTTTTATTTAAGCCACTCAGTCTATGGTATTTTGCTATGGCAGCCTGAGAAAACTAATACAGCATATAAAACTCTTGGTATATAATAGAAACCAACTATGTAGATATACACTATTCGTACAGACTGAGTAATGAGGGAGAATGTTTACTCCATCTGAAAAGACAAGCTCTTTTCAAGTACCTTATCAAGACTCCTTTTTAATCCAAATTGCTATTACTACTATTTTATAATACATTATGAAGTAACATAGTAGTAATATAGAAATATAGTA